GACTGTAACAATACATCTTATTGTACATGTTCACGGTTATTTTACATCGATGTAAAGAATAGTATGTCTACATGTTAATACATATGCACATACACACCTTAATGAACACAAAGGGACCTAGGGAGGTAGTGTGGATCGTCTCAGTTTTCCATGTTTTCCCGAAATAACGTCATCATCTTCTCATCAAAAAGATAAACAAGGCCCAGGTCTCTTATTTTATCCCAATTCTCTTTAAAGATTGTCTGATTGTTGCATTTATCCAGTGCATATCTCAGCTGCTGTCGCCACGTTTTTAGATGTAAACAACATTCCGTGTCACCGAGTGCAAGCGCTTGACTGAAGCCAAATGCAGCCAAACGACACAATAAAAAGAGAATTATTTCGAAGACGCGTTGTTGCTATATAAGAGAAAATCACTAATGTTTATTTATTTAAACCTGAAAATACAGACATTCATTACAAATTCTCGCAATCATCATTAAATAGCTTTTATGAGCTCTATTTCGTTATATGGATCTATCAAGGCGGAGCAACTGTCATGACGTCAAACCTCATTATGACCTCATTACCATATTATCTTCATGTGTAGCCTTAACTGTACTGCGATTGGCAATGCAGTCAATTTGAAGGCGGTTACCTGTGACCTACAAACAATAGCGTCTATAATTAGCGTGTGTTTACCCCAATTCAATCACGTTTATCTTTATTATGAAGCTTAAAGAATTTAGCTGATACTTTGCATTCATTAAATAATAATCCGTTCAAAATCATACTGCTAACCGTATATACATCGGTAAATTCAGGAGAATTTTGGAGAGTTGTAAATAAAATGAACAATAAATAACGAGCGATTTCGTAATGCTCTTTATCATATCGATTGTGTTAGTGTAAAATACGACGTTAAAAAACGTAAATGTATTTGAAACGCTTTTTTTCCCACAAGACAGTATAGAAAGGTACATAATTGAAGAAATTTATATCTCTATTTAATGTACTACCGTTTACAAACGTCCATTACATATAAAACTAGCGTTACGTACAGAAGTTGACGTTTTTCAAGGGATTTTTTAATGATCGAAATTCAAACTTAGCGTCTGTAGAAAAAAATAATATTGATAATCATGATGATGGCTTGTGTTCACGAATGTTTTAATACTCTGTTTGAGTTAGCTTGCAGAGTTCAGTTAATTTTATAGTAACCCTGTGTAATGAATATACGGGGAATATACAGGGTTAGTTTATATTTGAACATTTTTAATGATGATGCTGAACAATTCTGTCATATCATATGAGCTTCAATAATTATGATATATGGCGAAATAGAACAACGTATCAGATCAAAATTTGCTCAACCCATGAAGTCACATGCCAAAGAGAAGGCGAATTAAAAAGGAGGTCTCGGCATAAAATTGCCCATCCATTTTTTTATTGTGTAATTAAAATTATATTTTAATATATTTTTTCATTAATCAATTACTGCTTTGAAAACAAGTAACCAAAATATAATTTAAAAGTTTTTTTTTTCTTTACTGTCACATTTAAAACAAGAATGTGCATATATACATGCTTAGAGAGTGCTTTTTGAGATGCGATTCAATTATCCGGACGATTCATTTCTCCGGACGATTTCGTTGGGGACAGAGGCGTCCGGATAAACGAGGCGCCATTATATATATATATATATATATATATATATATATATATATATATATATATATATATATATATATATATATATATATATATACATGTGTATATATATATATATATATATATATATATATATATATATATATATATATATATATATAATTATATATATATATATATATATATATATATATATATATATATATATATATATATATATATATATATATATATATATATATATATATATATATATATGGGATGGCAATCGAATACAGAATTACTAATCAGTTGACCGCGAGACGTCCGACCGACAGATTAACTGGTTAATATTACCAAAATAGATACGCATTTTCCTAACTTTTTCCCAAGTAAACACTATATATATTCATATACACAAAACAAAAAAAAAAACAAAAAATAAAAAGAGAAGTTAGTAAATAATTTCATTTTATAAATCGCAAAGATATATAAGAATGATATTGTTAGAACTTTTCTGACAAGATGATAAAGGTCATTCTGCATTGTCACCATAAACAGAAACTTAGTCGAACTGTCATTTAACTTTAACGTTTGAAATTTGAATTTTAAGTAAATTAGCGCTGATTTTTTTTTTTTTTTTTTTTTTTTTTTACATATTTTTAATTTCTAACCGATAACAGATTTTATAACCGATTACCATCCCTTAAATATATATATATATATATATATATATATATATATATATATATATATATATATATATATATATATATATATATATATATATATATATATATATATATATAAACCCAAATAATTTTATATGGATTTTAATGAACTGAAAAATTCAAATCCATTTGTTGCCCAAAATTGAAAGAACCTGCCTTAGATATCATTCTGCATAAATAACTTAATAAATTAACTCAGTTATAAAATTTCCCTCCCCAAGTAATTTCAAGAAGTAAGTATTCATTGCGTTTTAAGTTATTTCACAATTCATTTATACGCCATCAATTATATTTAATAAAAATTAGTTGAATTAGCCCTGATACGTTTTGGCTACTTTCCTTGGATCCACCTCTGATTCACTAACAATAAGTCCACGTGCAATAATTTCGCATTCGACTTTCATATCTTCAAAGTATTACTCAAAATTTATTTAATGGTAAATTACTAAGAGCACATTAAGTCCTTTTTGAAGAAGAAAAATAAGGATTTGTCAGACCATATAATGTGCGAAGCTAATTAAACTTGAATCACTGTTTATTTAAGGAAGATCATCGATTACATCACAAGGTGAGTTCGCCTCCTATCATATTTTTCCAGCACAAACGAAAACATAAAACCGCACGACAGCATAAGGATCATTATAATGATCATTATTCATTTTCAACGAAGGATATGTTGTTCACAATCCTACATGCCTTGTAAATGTTAGGAGCATTTCCAATTGCTTTGTAAGAAAAGCCCCACGAAAGGCCAAGGTCACGTAAACAAAATCGAAAGAAGATTTAAAAAAAAACAAACAAATTTTATGCATACAAACACATAATTGTAAATTTTATAGGCATATAAAGTGAGACCTTTGCACCTGAAACTTGGTCGAGAAAATGACTGGTTTTATCTTTACATTGATATGAGATGAACAAGCTATAAATGGAGTGTTTTAAAGTAAGGTTTTCTTGTTTATTACATTTTCAACAGTGAAATACTGTGATTTATTTATTGAATAAAAGTGATATTCTCTCACAGTGTGAAAGGATACCAAAATGATATTCTCTCACAGTGTGAAAGGATATCAAAGTAAGTAAGAAATAATTTCCGGACTGTCATAAGATAGAGATAGTAACTTGATAGAGCTAAAACTGCAAATTTCTTCCCAAATATGTTGCTAAAAGCCATGCTATGTAATGTTTTCAATCTCAGAACTGCTAAGCTGTGACGTCTCAACCGCTCAACTATGACGTCAAGCCTATGACACTTTGTTAAGAAAAGACAGAGGCAAAGGGAAAATCAAAGAAAATGTAATAAACAGAAAATTCAATGTTTTGTAGATGAATATGGAATTTATTTCACTCGTGAGACAGGATTTTTTGATATTTTCACTCGTGCTTCGCACTCGTGAAAATATCAAAAAATCCTGTCCCACTCGTGAAATAAATTCCATATTCATCTACAAAACATTGAATATCCTCTATTTATTCAATACATATGGCTTAAAACTTTTGTATGAAGTATCGGTTATTCCAGATTTATTAAGTTTGTGTTTATTAGAAACTTTGAATGTTATAAATTTATTAATATTTAGCCTATGGGAAATATTGTTACATGAAAAAATAACTCTTCATGTTTAATTTGCATGCAGGGTATTTTTTTTGTTTTTATTATCTATAAAATTAAATACTTTAGAAATTTATACCCAGTTTTACTTAAATGTAAAAGGTGAGGATAACAAACAGTGATCATACATGTACTGTCCATCATTCAAACATACACCCAAAGTAGGGAAAATAGGGAAAATAAAAAAAACTGAAAACCTAAATTAAACACTAGCTTGATTGTAGAATATCATTTGATCCAGAATATATTTTCAATAAAAAGAAAAGTAAAGCATGCAACTCAAAGAAAACCTTTGATATGGAACACCATTAATACCAAAGTTAACTCTTGGACATGAGTACCTAGAACAATCAAGAACAACAATAAAAATTTCCTATTAAAAATAATCGGCTGACCAGTCTAAATTGACTTATTGAAGATATTTATAAATAGTAACATAGCTACATGTAGCAACAGGTTAATTCTAAAGAAGAATTTACTAATACTCTACCTGTTAGACTTAATATCTTATAAAACAACAACAACAAATACATACTTTTATTTGTTTGAGATATATACTTTTTCAAAGAAACGAAATTTAAATATTACATATAGAACATTATATATATATATATATATATATATATATATATATATATATATATATATATATATATATATATATATATATATATATATATATATATATATATATATATATATATATATATATATATAATTCGAAAGTATTTCAAAGATGATGTCACAGTAAAAATAATCATAAAAGAAAACGAAATTGCAAAGTTTCCAAATTTCAATCAGCAAAAGCGCTTTCTGGATTTCATAATCCGTCTTCAGGTGTACACAACATTTGAACTCAAATGTTATGTACACCTGAAAAAAAAAAAAAAAAAAAAAAAAAAAAAAAAAAAAAAAAAAAAAAAAAAATATATATATATATATATATATATATATATATATATATATATATATATATATATATTGCATGGAATCTTTGCCAATAGGGTCTAAATTGGAAGTATTGCAACATGAGAAATTTAGGCCTAAGAAAACAACTTCATTTTGTTATTTTACTATCAGAGGTAAGTTCTCAAGTCACCTATATAACATAATCAATGTTATTGAAACAAAAATGTATTATTTAAGGATTTTTATCACATTTTTAAATCTAAAGATAACATACTAATCTAATCAATTATTTAAATTTGTTAGGTAGAAAAATAATAATTGTGACGTTTCAGTGATTCAGAGTGTGAATTTCTTAATGGGTACATTTTAATAACCAATATCAGGCGCCATTTGCTCACGTCATGTGCCAAAAGATACCAAAAAGAAAAAAAACCCAAAACAAAACAAAACAAAACAAAACAAATTGTAAATTTTTAAGAAATTTGAAGTGTGATTTAAATCCTTCAAATTATTCTATTCATGTTAAAGACAATACGCACAAAGGAGGTTACTTGCCCTGCCTCTGTGCCCACTATGAAAGAGGTACCAACTTGTCCAACAACTTCAAAAGCGCTTGAGACATTAATGAAAATGAAAAACTGTGAAAGCATATCCACCTTACAAAACTGCACAAAAGCCTCAAATTTTCGATACCACTGTGTGCTGCAAATGGATCTGAAAAAACTTGTTGAAGTATGTGCGCCATCTATATATTCACAAGGTAATTGAGACTAAATATTTTTTCTTTATTTTAATTTGTATTGTTAGAATGTTTTTTTTTTTAGATTGAATACTGTTCGTTATATCCATATATTTCATGTTATTAGTATAAGATCATAGTTTCTCTAAAAATCTCTTAGGTATACATAATGCAATTTTGGTTTTAAATATTAACATTTTTATGAAATAGCATAAAAGCTTATCATAAATTTCAGGCAAATGCGTTGGATTTGATACTGTTGGGAAAAGAATTCAACAAATTGAAGAAAAATCTTGCCAGTATTACAAAAATCCTTGTCCCATTGGATTTTCATCGTGGAATTCATCTGCCTGTAACCTTTTATTTGCTTGAGAGATTTTTATTGGAGGGGAAATTAAACTTGATGTAATGAAAAAATACAATATACCTTGTAGATGCCGATTGCTATATGCTGTTGACAGAATTAGAAAAAAATGATGGTAGAACAACGGGAAGTATAACAGAAAATGTTTGGTAAGTTTTGTTTATCGTAAAAAAACCCAGCAAAAATGGTAATATTGAAATGCTACAGAATAAAATAAATAATAAAATTGATATCAGCAAAATTCTTTATAAAATTAAATATTACTTTCGAGATAGTATTTTTTTTCAATCATACTAAAATTGCGTGTAAAATTATGTGGTCTTTATTCACTATGTTAAACAAATTAGATGTAATTATTGCATGCCTGAGGTCAGTACTATGCTTAACAATATATACCGAGCCCGAAGAGCGAGGTGAATACTCGCTCTTGTACGTGTACTTAGAAGGTGGCTTAATTACTTTATTGGCTAAAAAAATATTATTTTATTATATAATTCAATTAATAAATGATACAAACTCCTCAAGCAATTTATGCCCTCTTATTTATTTAACATTTTATGTCCTAGCTAAATGCAATGAAGAAATAGATACCCATTTGTATTAATTTTGAATTTTTAAATCTTGTTTTGGTGCGATGCAGATAAAATAAATTTCAAGAATTTATAGGGCAAATTATGAATGGGGGAAGGCATAATATGAAAAAAAATAAAAATGACGACTTACCTAAATTAAAAAAAAAATCTTTGACAAGTTTCCCGAAAAAGCTAGAGGAGAATTCTCCCAACTCCAATGTTTAAATGATTAGGGTGTAAAGGTCCATTATCTGGGGATGGGGGAACCAGCTTTTTAATTAGATGAACATACTCTGTACCTAATTAAAAGGTAGAATTACGTTTAGAAAAAAATATTGCAAGGAGATAGGCAAGCCCGCTGCACCCCGCCCACCCATCACCCTAGTTTCTAAGTGCGTGAATGTTATATTCTTCTGATAAGAAAAAGTAAAATAACATTTTAAAACTACTTGTATCAATTAGAAATTTCCATTTTATCCTTCTGTCTGCAATAATTCAGAAATGAAAAAAAAGATAGATTTCACAATCGGTATGTAATTCTTCCTACTGAGGAAGCAGGTAACAACACTGTCCTTGTTTGTATGATTCATTATTTTAAATGTATTTCAGAGGAACACAGATTTAATCATGCAGTTGGTAATTCAACTCATTTTCATAGTTTTCCTTTCTTTGGAAAAAAATTCTTAAAAATTATATGTAAGTTTTAATTTTTTAACATTACCAACAATTAAAATGAATCTGAGTTACCATTACTGTAGTTGATTCGTAAATTTTATAAAAATCCTTAAAAACTAAGAAGCATAGAGGGTTCAAGCAAATATTCTACCAGGCTTCTTTCTTTACTCCCAACTAAAATATTATCAGAAGGGAAAGACAAACTTCAGGAGTTTGCAGCCCTCCACCGACAAGTGGTGGCGTCTCTATATGAATGAAAAATTCTCGAGAGGGACGTTAAACAGCACCAAAAAAGAAACAATAAAAAGATGCTTGAGTTTCTAATTGACAATATTAATAACTATGTAGTTTCTGGAGACCAGATCTTCCAACAATCTGTCGGAATTCCCATGCGTGCCAATTGCGCCCCGTTATTATCAGACGTATGTTTGTATTCATATGAAGCAAAATTTATTCAAAAACTTTTACATGAGAAATGTGGCCTTCTACTCGACATTAATTTAAACAGATACCGACGAAGAATGATCAATTAACAATAGTTACTTCCATTCATATGTTGACTTGCTTACTGATCCATGGCGGGCAGCTGATCCCACCCTTGATGTTTTTAGAGGTCTTGTTGCTCTGCTACTGATTTTTATTGTTTCAGTGGACTTCTGAGCATATTTTTTTCCTTTATTATTCCAAACATTTTACATGACAAGAAAACTCTTGCTGTGGCCTTCAACTCGACATTTCGATATATCGACGACGTACTATCAGTTAACAATAGTTACTTTAATTCATATGTCGACTCGATATATCCCAGTAAGCTTGAAATAAATAATACCACAGAATCTGATACATCTGTTTTATATCTAGATATTTTACTAGAAAAAGACGTTAATGATAACCTAACAACAAAGCTTTATAATAAACGTTATGACTTCAACTTTTCAATCGTCAACTTCCCTTACTTATGTAACAATATACCCTTATCACCTGCATATGGGGTTTATGTCTCTCACTTGAATCGATACGCAAGGGCATTCTCTACATATGAACAATTTCCAAAACGATGCAAGCTATTGACAAGCAAGTTGATGAAACAACGATATCAACAGTCTCATTTGAAGTCATCTTTTCGCAAGTTTTACGGTCGATATAATGACCTTATCAGTAAATACAAGCTATCATTGAGTCAAATGGTGACTGACGTTTTTCATACTAATTGTTGGGCCATTATTTATACACTGAACTGTCTACGGATTTTTCCGGGTTTTTTTCCCCCGATCATGACAAGAAGCACACGGCGGGTGTGACCGGTCGGCAGGAGATGCTCACTCCTCCATGGCACCTGATCCCTCCTCTAAATTTTGAGGTCCGTGTTTGCTCTGCTCCAAATTTGTATCGTTTCATTGGACCTTCGAAATTGAATACTGTTCGTTATCTTCATATTTCACTTCATATTTCGTTACAGACGTTAAAAGTCAACTTACAACTAAACTGGAATCGGAATGACGTCAGTATTTATGCACTGTTCACAGATTTTTACTATTTGTATTTTTTCTTCGAGATCTATCCTTTTTCGTTGTCTTCACTTATGTCAATGATACATTGATTCAATTTCACATTGTTGAGAAAATGTTTGTTTGTTTGTATTTTGTTTAACGTCCCTTTCGACAAATTTTGTCCTATACAAGGTACTTACGGCCATTGAGCAGTGAGGTATCTTTTCCGTGCCAGCACCTACTGCGACACGGGATCCCGGTTTATACGGTCTCATCCGAAGGACCGGTCTCCGCGTCCCACAGTCGGATCAACTCCTTACTTCGCGACTCTAGAGCAGACGCTCTAACCACTGCGCCACGGGGCGACGTTGAGAAAAATGAGTTCTCTTTCAACATTATTATTTATATTGTGGAAAATGCAAGTCTCAGTACACATGTACTTTAATAATTTGGTTCCTCTTCTGTATCGATCCTTTTTAAGATGCGAAGTTTTTGTATCTTTTCATGGCATTACTAAAAAAAATTATAAAACCATTCATGCAAATCTGCTTTTGTGTACATCTGCATATTCTTATTTTATTATCGTGTTTAGTTTTTGTTTCAAAATAATTACAACTCAATGTAATAGTATTTTTTTTATATTATAGTCAACGTATTTTTAATATGAATATGCATCTTTTGCTTCAAATAATGAAGTTAAAGTTATTATACTTAAATTGATACTCAAATTGATAAAATGCACATTAGTATTTGCGTCATTCAATCCGGTAAGCAAGTTTTTTTTTAAAAATGAATTTCATACAGCTGGGCATGTAATGAGTTGAAATTGAATCAAATCATCATAAAATATCTATTAACAGGTTAATTATTACAACTGTGGCGGTTGCTGTGCTTGTCCTCGTGTTATCTGGCATGGTTATCATTATCATCATCAGGAAACAAAGAAAAAGTGAGTACTAAATATTGCTTTCATTTTTTCATGAAAAAGATATGAAAATTTAAATTCATAAACTCAATGTCACTTATGAACTAGAAAACATTTGTATAGAAACTTGGACCATGGACCATACTTAAAAAAAAAAAAAAAAAAAAAAAAAAAAAAAAAAAAAAAAAAAAAAAAAAAAAAAAAATTAATTCATAACATGCAAATCAACAAAGATTCTCTGAAAGACAAAATCTTTTACATGTGTATCTCATAGAGAGATGAATAAAAGAATATTCTGTTAATTTAGAACAGACAGGGGGTATCAATGATGTAAGTGAATTAATTCAACTTCATAATCTTGTAATCATATGCTTTTTCCTTTGCAAGTATCACTATTATCATATTTTAATTATTTGTCTTTATTTATCTATCCTGCTATTGGTTGTATATTTACTTTACTGCCACGCACATCTTTTTCAATATAATTTCTTGATATTTTTTACATAATTCTTTCAGGGCGTGTTCAGTTCTAAACATAATGTCTTAGATGTAAGGACGAGGATATCCAAATGGTTAACATTAAAAGTCAATCTGTATTTTTGATTATAGAAAATCCCATTTTTAGACCCATAATTATATAGTAACTCCATTTGCTATGTGTCTACAGTCCATGTAGACAAGTATGTCCGTTTTTTGTCATGATACTTTTTTATCCGTTTTCTTATGTGCTCTGGGGAGAAGACTGATTTTTCAAATAACCTTTACTCCGAAAATGTAAGTATATTTTGAAGCATGTTTATATGTATTCTTAGACAAAAAACCTGACAAAACTAGCAAATCTTCAATGATTAAGCGCTTATTTTCATATTTATTTAGAGTCCTTTTTTTCTTAAGAAAATTTTACTAACATATGAAGCAAAATTTTTAGGGAGAGTTCATTTTTTATCATTATTGGCGAAAGTGTTTAAATAGCTGAAAAGAAAATTGCTAACTATTCATTTTGCTATGCTTAATAGTAATGAGATCCTTCCTTACATCAAAACATTGCTAAAAGTACTTATAGCTGTTTTACAGGGAAATCGCTAGATTTGCCTTTCGCTTAATACTCCATTTATACGGTATTATATTCGATAGTCTTAATTTACATTCATGTACCAGTTTATCTAAAAGTAATATTGTTTATGTCTTTCGAGAGAACTAATGAATTGTGATTTTCTGCCTTACATTTACTGATTTTCTGCCTTATTTACTGAAAAAGGATTTTTTTTCCCGCTACGTACGCGGTCACAAGTTTTCTGCGGAAATTTGTCCCGGCATACTTAAAGTACATTGAAAGCAAATAACAGCAATCTAAGAAAACCTTAAATTATTCATAAGGGAATCCTGAAGAGCTTGGACACAGTCATTTACTATTCTAAACTTTTCGGTATAGATATCATGACTTTCGTGTTGCTAGAGCATTTCAGACCAATAAATAAGAAAAAAAAAACCTATGTTTATTAACTTCTTTTTTTTTATCAAAAAAATTATCAAAACTACAAATTTTGGGACGCGTTTGATAGACGCACATTTCTCCACTTTCACAAAGTAAAGTTTATCCTTAACATTTAAGAAAGGTAGAAAATTTGTTATTATTGCATTAATGAAAAAAAATAATACTGAAATTCAGAGTTGAAATGTGAGAAACCAAAACCAACACACCAGTTTAAAACATTTAAAAAAGAAATGAAATAAAATGGGCTTAGCCTTTCAAAAGAAAAATAACTATGCAGATGAAATTAACTATCAACATCTTTACAAAATTTTTTCAATGAATATGACAAGAAAATAAAATTTTCGTATTTATAAATGTAATGTATTAATAAATGTAATGTAATTTATAAAGTCCGAATTGTAAAATTTTTTTTCTTATAAATAGGATTTGTAATTATGTTCAGGATTATCCTTTGTAAAGTTAAAATAATTTGTATGACGTACGTTGATAGCATGACTACTTCGGGCCAACGCTGACTTACACTTAATGGCTGCGTTGGACCAACGTTGGCAACCCAATGTTGGCCCATTGCAAGTTTGCTTATCGGCCCTACGTTTTCTAACCTTTTTCCTAATAATTTTATTGAATACTTATTAAATCATTAACTTAACTTTGATTGGCATGTCTATTTATAAATTAGTCTGTATTATATATCCATCATTGACATTCTTAATTACCAAATGCTGACCATGGGTCCATTAAAAGCTCTTGATATTCATGTGCGACGTATATGTGTACATTGGTAAGCAAATTCGAAGTGTTGTGTGTGTTTCTGTTGAGGAGAAGCGTGGGGTTGGGGATAGGGGTTACTTTGTATGTTGATCTTTTTTTCTTTATGCGCATGCAGAAACGATCCATTTTATTACTGGGACAGAGAGAAAGAGAATTTAATTTTGCTGGTATGCAATGCACGTGATTTGTAAAACATTATGAAATCTTAATTTAAGAAAATCCCTCCCCGCTATATTTACACTTGCCAATAAAAATTAATAGATTTCTTTAATTTTTTCTATTTTCTAAATTTCATGCTATTACATTCTGCGTTGATATCGACGCAAAATGTTATAACGCAAAATGCAATAATTCTGGTTTATTACATTTTGCGTTGTTATTAAATTCCGCGTTGTAACAAGGCAGTGGAAATTTTAATTGCAAACACCATTTCCTTTTTCAAACATCATCTCATTTCAATTCAAAAATCAACTCTTTGTTCAAAAAATGTTGTATTTAATCCCATAAAAAGTAATATTAAGGAGCTTGCTGTTCACACCACAACCATATTTGAATTTCCACTTTAATAAATCTCTCTCTTCACTAAAATCTTCTTTAAGGACAAAAATAGTATTATCCAGGAACAATAGATGGTCATGTTAGGATTGCAGTTGTTTTTTTTTTTAAATATTCACTTATTTTTATCATTTTTCTTCCTCCTTCTTCATTGTCATCAGAGCAGAACCAGTTTATAACATTAGCTGCAATTTCTACATCAGCAGGAAATGCACACAGCATATTTTCCCGTCTAGTATAGTTGAAAAAAAAAGGAGATAACCTGTTTAAATATTGATCCAAAAAAAGTCTGCATCTCAAGGGAAATGCAACATAATAATACTCGTAAATATTTGACATGTTCTGAAATATTTAGTGCATAGTAAACGAAGAAGTGCAGGGCGTAATGTATGCGCAGATAGTTTAAACTGCGGATGCCTCATATGGAATCAACTGTGTTCGTCTATGCGTTTTTATATGAAGATGAAGGGTTATTTATATTCAGATCTCCAGTGAATCACGTGCTATAGCCGGGATATTTTGTCACGTGGTGATTTGCCGGATGATTTCTGGAGACTATGCTGCAAGTGGCGTTGGTGGATAACACAATAAATGCAAAGTTTAGAAAAACAAAAAAACTATCATTGTGTATTTCGCAGCTGAAGCCTATTCAAAACAGTTTTTTTTCTAGTTCTACCTACTTTTCAATTTCTACTCATCACTTTTACCATTGTAATTATTATTCAGAAAATCTTAAATTCTGTTCATATCTTACTCACTCCCATGTTGTTCGTTAAATCTTTTAATATGATCATGAATTAATATCCGATGAGAAATAAAAAAAAAATAATTGAAGCATAATAATGACAATGAATACTTAGTTTGAAGCAGGTCTTTGAAATATTTCACGCATAATTTTTTGCACATCATCATTAATTAATTACGTTCCATTTGAGAATTTTTCACTCATATTAAGAACCATATACCGGTGATTGGCTACCAAATTAAGACCTTGACTTCAGCACTCAGGGCCATTGAGCAACGCCTGCAGGGGCCTCGGTTTCCGAGGTCTTATCCGAAGGACCCATAACTTTCACTTCAAAGTGCCCAGCACTTGGCGAAGGGATAGTTACTTCCTATTTTTTTTTAGGTCAGTCGCGGCCGGGGTTGACGCCAACGACCTTCCGATCACGGAGATCACGGAGAGTTTCAGGAACAAATTTTTATTTTAATATGGTGAAGTGGTCATTCAAATTGGTTAAAATGACGAGGATATTTAACGGTGCATTGAGTAATAACGATGACTTACTTGCAACTTAAATTTGTTGTCTAGTCTACTATTGACTGACATCTTCCGTACGAAATTTCAAGTAATAAATTTTACACAGGATCGTATATGGATTTACTTTTATCGAATTATGACAAAGGGCACACAGTGGATTTGACACTGATCAACATGGTATGCTAACTCCTTCATGCCACTTGATCACCTGAATTTTTATGGTCCGTGTTTACTGTATGCTCACAATTTTTATTTGTTTGATTGCACTGGAAAATGAATATTGTTCTTTTTTCTTTTTCTTTATTCGTTTAAATTGCATGCTATTTTGATCCATTGTTGATGCAGATTCAAATGGCTTACATCTTTTGTGTGGAATTTCCAAACTTGTAATTAGTCACTTATTAATATCACAACGGAGTTGGAGGGAACATAATAATAACACGCTTGAGGGTTAGTTTGTCCTTGTTTGCCTAACGGAAGTAAAAGATTTGCGACGGGATCGATGTTAAATGTTGAGTATGTTTATTGATATACTGTCATACGAGGGGATGCTCCACTTTCCGTTGCTCTTGATTTTGTTTATTTTTGATATTGCTTGCAGACGTATAAATTTATATTTTTAAAAATTGCTAAATAGACCTTTTGATTGAGTAATTATTAAAAATACAATTATCATGACCAACATTTCAAAATTTACTTTCAGCAGCTGGAAGTTGAAGAAAAGAAAGAAGTTTCTGTGAATTCTGAGGAAGAACAAAGTCATTTATGCAATGACACTGGTTAGTATGTGTCTAATATTCATTTGAACTACACATGTTCGTTAAATTTCACTAGATTACGAATCAAAGTTCTGTATTGTTCTAGGGCAAACGTTTAAATATATTGACTTGCCGTTTCTAGACCCTTCATTTATCTGGAGAGGTACAGTTAATGAAATATCATTCGTTCCTAGAGTTTGATTCCATACTTCTAAATGAATGTCAAAGTTATTTTTTCAAAACTATTTTAGTTTTTTCTAATTAGAGACTTAAAGGGCCCATGCGATAGTTAGGTGTCTGTGGTCTGTCCGTCTTGCTTTCGGTCTGTCTGTCTGTCCGTCTGTAATGAAAATTGTGAAGCTAATGAACAGTGATCGATCTCAAAAAATCTTTAAACAATACAAATCTTTATAAAGGGTATAAAGAAGGACCTCTGGAAATTCCAGAGTAAGCATCCTCTGTCAACCGGTCACACCTGTCATGAGCCCTATATACTGATCAAAGAAACGGAACATTCCGTAGTCAAATTTGGTTCAAATACCAATTCCTAACGATTGGTATGAAACAAAGCCAAAATCCGACCAAGTGATGGTTTATTTTTGCTAAATGGTCATTAAAACGACCATAGAATTACGGAATGCTGACTTTAAAAGAGATTGTTGAAGTACCTGTAACATCAACGTATCTGTAAGTAACCTGCATTTGTTTAAAAGCCGATCCTATTGGAAGCATGCTCTTCAATATCAAATGAGTTTGGAGATGTCAACGCCATAAATAGTTTTTAAAACATTGCTATTACTGTTTTGATCTGATGTCAATATACATGTATTTTGGCAGAAAAGTTGATTATAGTTTGGTACAACATTGTGTATCGGTTTTGATTTTGATCAGTTTTGTATTATGAAAACTAAAAATTGAAAATTCTTTGAAATTCTTGTGAAACTCGATACCTTTGAAGTTTTGATTTGATTTCAAAAATAATACTTACAAAAAAAATAATAATACTTGGTTCATATATAATACACAATAATGTATGCCGGTTTTTGATTTCAATCAACGCTGATGATATGTTTACTTAAAACAGAAATTTAAAAAATTATTTCAAAATGCTACTCCTCCTACAATTTTGTTCTAATGTTAGACGATATCTATCAGATCTCGGTCGATTTTCACAAAACTTGCCTTCACAAAATAGGTAATAATAATAATGATGATGATGATGATGATGATGATAATAATAATAATAACTAGAAACTCATTGCGAGCAATGAGAGGTCTTCCGTCTGATTTTGAAAATAAAAACGTAAATCCAAGCTGAAAAGGTGATAAAAGAAATTCAGACACTCTGGAGATTTAACCCTGGTTGTCAGCGTGAAATCCAACGTGCTAACCATTAACCATTCACTTTTTTGCATCACTTCCTGTCACGACCGGAAGTAACGACGATACAAGATTTCCTCGCATTTCAAATAAAATGATGACTGACTATCAGTTCTGAAAGTTTTAGACTTCAGTCGTTTACTGTTGCCGAGCAATATCGTGAGAACAAATTCTAATTCTGAGGACAGGTAAACACGCGATCGGAAGTGAATTTTATAAAAAAAAAAAATCTCTGACGTTTCTCTATACATTTGCAGTATCTACAAAATGCATAAAAACATTTCAAGTACTTTATCGTTAAGCAATATTTATGAGAAAGTTCAATATCGAAATAACGTAGTTTATCATCTAAAACCGGAAGTTGACGTTTTTGTAGATATTTGCTGACTAAATAACATATTAAAAATTCATTTCAAATACTTTATCTACAAAAGATATTAATGGGAAAGAAAAATACTTCAATTATGTAGTTTTTCTCTTATAGCCGGAAGTTGACGTTTTTGTTTCCGGTGGGACCAACATATTTCGAAACTACACAAAAGATGCAATAATGTGATATAGGATTTAATTCAAAAAAGGAAAGTTGAAATTTTACGATTTCTTTGATCACTTCCGTACACGACCGGAAGTGCCGACGACGAACGAAAAGGCGATTCCACAAATTAAAATGTCACGTTCTATGCTCTCCAATAAGTCTCCAGTTCATATCTTTAACCGTTCTTGAGAACATTCGCGGACAACATTCCATTTAAAAATCAGGAAATTGCCCGTATCTTGGAACCAGAATGGAATTTTCCAAATTTTCCTTGTGATGAACAAACTTCATACAATGACTAATTTTTCCTGAAAGTTTCACGTAAAACCACTGAATAGTTTTCGAGAAAACGCCTGCACAAAATTTGGTCAAAAAAAAAAAAAAATAATAATAATAAGAAACAGTAGAATCACTATAAGGTCTTCCGTGAAAACGGAAGACCTTAATAATTAGAATCTCTGCTATTGCAAGCAATAGCGTATGTCGCCCCGAACTGGCTTTATTAGAAATGGTCTAAAGGTGTATTATTCTTTTTTTTTTATTTATTAAAAAAGCTTTTAAAAATACATGGTCCAATTGCTGGGATTGGACTACTGACTCTCGGATTGTAGAGGAGATAATAGTTTTGACAGGCAGGATTGTTGATTAATAAAAATTTTGATTTCCTCAAAAACCTCTTTTTTGTTTTATTGAACATGAAATACATCAGAACACACATGTTTATACATGTAATTAAATCTAACATATCCGGAGAATTGGATTCTATTGAAGGAATAATATCGCTAGTTTTTAATGACTACTGATTTCGGAATTAATTAACTAAATACAAGTGGTTTATATCAAGATAAAGTAATTGTAAATAAGATGATTTACACACACGCAAAAGAAAAAGCATCACGGCTGCGGAATATAAACTCGTATATTAGGGAAACTTGATTTACAAAAAGGAAATTTTATATCTCTGTTCATCTGTACAGAAATTCGCCGATTAACTAATTGAATCGACCAGAGGTTGATTTCGGGTGAGAAATATTTTATGTTGTTGTTATTCTGGGTGAGGCGCGCGCGTGTGTGTAAGGGTAGGGGGTTAGTAAAAATGTACAGTAACTTTTTTGACTTTACATTTATTAAACAGAATTTTATTTGGAAACTGCATGTGAAAAAAAGCATTACTCAAGAAAAAAATTATCAGAGAAAAACGACACTTATAAAAAACATACTTGCTGCATACACTATGAGGAATGTCAAAAATTATGGTCTTAATATAATTAATGATAGTTGTGCAATTTCATTTCATTTGTTAAAATAAGGTAGCAATGCTCAATAAATGTATAACTTGTATAATTATACTGTAAAAAGAAACAAATATCGTTTTCTTACAATTTCATAAAGTATTATCTTTAACGTAGGTCGCGGGTTTGCAGGCCTTTTAAAAGTGTCCGAAAACATACCATGAAAATTAGTTGTATGATTCCTCTACCTTTGTTTTACATTCTCTGAAAATTTTATAAAATTTGTCTGCATCGTTTTTATGTAATTAAATCCCAAAGATAACATTGTTGTAGTAACTTTTTCGACGTTATTGTATTGAATTATATAGGAAAAACGTCGATTTCGGCTCGTTTTCAGGCAAGATTTTTTTTCTCAAAAAATATTATTAACTTTTAAATGGTGCAGCCGAAATTCTTCCCCCTTTGGTATCTTAAAATAGAACTGATTTGAAATAAATCTATGTGAAAAAATTAACATGTCTTCGGGTTTGTTTTCTCGTAATTTAATTGTAGAAAATTGCTTTCATATCGCAAAATTTAACATTTTTAAGAACTACGTCATAAAATATCACGACGTCACGCTTGACGTCGTGAATATCGATCCGGTATACAGAGCAGAAAAAAATTAAAATATTTATAATTCACGTCTATCTGCTTTCATATGACCCACGAATCGTATCATAATAATTCAATAGCAATGAAATGATTATTAGACATGTTTCTCTTCTAATATTTTTTGTACGTCTCATATTTGTGAAAATTATCTCGAGGGACGTAAAACGACAATCAGTCCTTTAGTTTCTTTCTTTCAATGTATTTTCTTTATGTGTTGTTTTCTTACCGTTTCTTTTCATTTAGTTTTGTTTTTTTTTTCCTTTTTTAGATAAGTATGCTATTTTTTCAGCGTGCTGGCGGAATAAGTTATCCTCTTATTCAAGTATACATATGAAATGTTATTATTTAGAACATTCAGCAATGCTCTCATAGTTACGATAACTTCTTAATGAATGAATTTCCGCCAAATATCGTCCCGGCTAAATACATTGTATTTTCAGTATATATTTAAAAAAAAAATTTATTTATTTTTGCATACAGACAGAGGATAATTAAAAAAAAATCTGAACTTGATTTTATGATTATACGTATAAGAATAGAAAAAAAAAACCCAAACGAACGAGACAGTGGGACGAGAATCTAAATTTAATTTTATCGGACGTAATCAACAGGCAGGTTTTTTTTTTTGGGGGGGGGGGGGATTCAAAAGGCTTTCAATGTATATAACATTAATTCGACTGGTTGGATATGGAAAACAAAGTAGCGAATAAAATCTGTAGATAACAGCATTTTAAGCCGTTACTTACACAGGCACTTGGGGTATTTATTGACCCCCCCCCCTTTCCATTTTTTCTTTTTAATTCTGGGGTCGAGTCACCCTTTTCCTATTTTTGAATTCTAATATGTACTATATGTTATCAATAATGTACCCCTTTGTCTCTATAAGCTGTTTTTAAATATATCGTTTTTGACTGATACATAAAAGTGCCCCCTTCCATTTTTTTCTTTTTAATTCTGGGGTCGAGTCACCTTTTTCTTATGTTTGAATTCTAATATGTACTATATGTTATCAATAAGGTAACCATTCTGTCTCTTTAAGCTGTTTTTAAATATATCGTTTTCGACTGATACATAAAAATGACCCCCTCCCCCCCCCCCCCAACTTTTTTTCTTTTTTAAATCTTGGGTTGAGTCACCTTTATCTTATGTTTGAATTCTGACATGTACTATATGCTCTCGATAACGTAACCTTTTGTCTCTATAAGATGTTTTTAAATATA